GCCCCCCCCCCCTCCGCCTCCGTTGTCCGCTCCCGGGCGGCGACCCCCCCCGCCCCCCGTCCCCCCCCCACCCCCCAGCCCCCCACCCCCCGCCCCGCCTCGCCGCCTCGACGCCCCTCCCACTTGGCAACTGATCTCCCCATCTCTCCCCATCTCTCCCCACCTCTCCCCACCTCTCCCCACCTCTCCCCACCTCTCCCCACCTCTGGCAACTGCTTGATCGGCGGGCCTCTCCTCCCCACGGCCCGGCGTCTTCTCGTCTGCCACACAGAGACGCACGTACTTATGCCCCGACCAGGCCCCCACCCCCGTGCCTGGGAGGAATCCATGTCTTGCGACACCTCCCCCCCGGCCGCCGCTCCTCCGCAGGTGTGTCCTCGACAAGCTCACACGCACACCGCGCAGTCGCGCCGCCGAAAAGCCAGAGTCGCGTCATCTGTCAAGGCGCCGGCGCTGGGGCGCCGGTGGTGTGTTGTTGTTTTCTGTCTTGTTTCTAAGATATTCTCACCTTCCAGGATCGAGCCCCGGCCCGAGTGAGCGTTGAGCGACGAGAGACGCGCTCGTGCCTCGTTTCAGTCCGACTGTACAGTCCCGCGAAGCCGCGTCCCGGCCCCCGCCCGCCGCCCCGGCCCCGCCGCCCCGCCGCCCCGCGCGCTCAGCGCGCTCATGCCTCGCGGGAGACATGGCACATGCACACGGTCCGTGGCGCGTGTACTGGCATGCAGCGACAGCTGCGGAGCGCGTCCGCTTCCCACGTCGCGCTCGAGAAGAGGCTCCTGACTCTCAAAGAGAGGTGTCGCGGCTTGAGGACATCAATCAGTCCAGGAGCGTCGGCGGAGTGTCGTGCCGGTCCTCGAAGCCGGCCAGCTCCTCCCGACTCGGGAGTAGCGCGGCAGGGGGGCGTGGCAGCAGGTGCCTCGCCTTGACGGAGGAGTGGGAGGAGGCGGCCGCCCCGTCGGGCGCGGCGCGTGCATCGGCGGCGACGCACGCCTTGTCCCAGCAGCGCTGGTAGGCGCGGCCAGACAGCAAGTCCACGGTCACCATCACGTTTTGGCTCGCGTGTTGCCGGCCGATCGCAAAGCAGAAGCGCGTCCCTACGCGGGCCCGCGGGGGAAGGGGGCGTGAGGCGTCGAGGTGAGGCGCGCGCGCCTGCGACCCGCTGGCGCCGGTGGTTGCTGCGACTGCTGCCGCGGCTATTGAGCTGCTGCTGCTGCTGCTGCTGCTATTACGTCTGCTGCTGCTATTACGTCCGCCGCCGCTGCTGCCGCCGCCGCCGCTGCTGCCGCTGCTGCCGACCATCCTGCTGCCGCTACCACTGCTGCCGCCGCCGCTGCTGCTGCTGCTGCTGCTGCTGCTGCTGCCGCCGCCGCTGCTGCCGCCGCTGCTGCCCCTGCTGCCGCTACCACTGCTGCTGCTGCTGCTGCTGCTGCTGCTGCTGCTGCCGCCGCCGCCGCCGCCGCTACCACTGCTGCTGCTGCTCCTTCCGGCGCACCGGCCAAGGTGAGGTGGAGGAGCGCCTCCTCCGGCCGCGACGCGCTGACGTACCGCCACTCCCGCACCTGCCGCCATGGACAGACACACGAGTCAGGGCGGGCAGACGGCCTCGCGCTAACCCTAACCCTAACCCAAGGCGGGAAGACGGCCTCGCGCCAGTGTACTCAGAGCGGAGGGTCGCGCGGACGCGTGGGCTGCGAAGAGAGAGGATGCAGCTGAAGGGCGGCCGACGGGGTGAAATTCGCGAGTGCTAGTCCGAGCATACACCGGCCTGCGTCCCGTATCTGGGCTCCGAGATATGGAGAGCTATGGGGAGATGTGGATCCGCATTCCGCAGCTAGGCTCCCCACCCGGACGGCCGCAGCACCCGCCCCTGGCCACCCCGCCGCCTGCTCCTCTGCCCACGCAGCGAGTGGGCCGAGGGGGGCGGGCGGGTGTCCCTGCCCCCTCGCGCGGCCTCGCAGGAAGGGGTGGGCCGGGCCTCCGACCGGCAGGTCGAGCAGGGGCAGGGGCGTGAGCAGGTCGACCTAGGCAGGCATTGGACTCGAGAGGTGTGGTGCAGTTGGCTGGTTGCACATGTGCATGTGCATGTGCATGCACATGCACAACAACAACAACATGTACATGTGTCGGGGCGGTCGACTTGAGAGAAGGGTGGGGAAGTATCACATCGTGGTGCAGGGGTTAGGCCCGCGTCGGGGGAGCCTCGGGCGTGCTCTTGAGTGATCTCGGGCGATCTCGAGTGATCTCGAGTGATCTCGGGGCATATCGAGTGATCTCGGGCGATCTCGGGCGATCTCGAGTGATCTCGGGTGATCTCTAGTGATCTCGAGTGATCTCGGGGCATCTCGAGTGATCTCGAGTGATCTCGGGGCATATCGAGTGATCTCGAGTGATCTCGGGCGATCTCTAGTGATCTCGGGCGATCTCGGGGCATCTCGAGTGATCTCGGGTGATCTCCAACGACGTAGGCTGACCTGGGCCAGCCATTCGTCTGGCGAAGGCGTCGTCTCAAGTGCGACAGCGCCGCCGCCCGCTGCGCTGATGAGTGCGCCGCCGCCGCCGCCGCCATCACCACCACTGCCGCCGCCGCCGCTTCCGCCGGCCTCCCCGCTGCCAGCGCCGCCCCTGTCGGTGGCGGCGGCGGTGGCAGCCTCTGCTGCAGTCGCGTCGCGGGGAGCGGCGGCGGCGGCGGCGGGGGTGGCGGGGGTGGCGGCGGGGGGGGCGGGCGGGTCGGGGAGGCGGAGCGGCACTCCCAGCGGCACGGCCAGAAGCGCGGCGTCGGCGGGGAGGGTATCGGGGACGACGAGGGAAGCGAGAAGCAGCTGCTCGCGCGACACGGCGAGCCCGGCCCGGCGCGGCATGAGCTCCCAGCAAGGCAGCAGCTCCCCCGACCCCTCGGGGGGTTCGGCGGCGGAGGCGGAGGCGGAGGAGGAGGAGGAGGAGGGGATGGCGGGGGGAGGAATGGAGGTGTGCGGGTTTGGGCAGTCCTTGGCCCAGTGCCCTGACTGGCCGCACCGGAAGCAGCCCGTGGGCGCGGCGGGGGCCGGTGGCAGCTTGCTCGAGTAGGGGAGGCGGAAGGCGCGGTCCTGCGGGGAGGGGGGGCGGAGGGAGGGCGGAGGGAGGGTGGAGGGAGGGTGGAGGGAGGGTGGAGGGAGGGTGGAGGGGAGGCTCGAGGGAGGACTCCGAAGGGGGAAGGGGGGGGGGGGGGGGTCTAGGGAGTCTAGCGTGGAGGAGCCACAGGGCGGCAACAGAGGCTGCGGACAGGGCCACCAGGGAAGGGGGGGGGGGGGAAAAGGGAAGGGGAGGGGAGGGGGGAGGAGGGGAAGGGAGAAAGGAGGGAGGGAGGGAGAGGGAGGGGGGAGGGAAGGGAGAGAGGGGGGGGGAGGAGATCAGGAGGGGGGGAGAAGGGAAGAGAGGAGAAAGAGGGACAAGGGGGGGAAGAGAAAAGAAAAGTGAGGAGGGGGGAGGAGGAAAGGAAGCGAAGGGGAGAAGAAAGAGGAGGGGAAAGAGGGGAAGAAAGGGGGGAGGGAAGGAGGGAGAAGACAGAGGAGGAAGAGGGGAGAGGATCAAGGGGATGGAAGTAAGAAGAAGGAGTGAGAGAGGAGGGGGGAGGAAGGAGGGATAGGGGAGGGGGAGGGGGAAGGGGAGAAGGAAGAGGGGGGGAGTGGGGAGAGAGAGGGAGAAGAGGAGAAGGGGAGGGGAGGGGGAGAAAGGGAGGGGAGGGAGAAGAGAAAAGGGGTGAGGAGGGGAGGGAAAAGGGGGGGGTGGGAGGAGGGGGATTTTAGTGGTAGGGGGGGAGATTGGAGGGGGTGCGGGGGGGGGGGGGGGGGGGGGAGGAGGGAGCAGGGCGGGAGGGAGAGGGGTGGGGGGGGGGGGGGGGTTCGGGGGGGGGAGGGGGAGGGGGGGGGGCGGGGGAGAGGAAACGGGGGGGTAGAGGAACCCGCATCTAGTCGCCGAGGTGGGAGGGGGGTTCTCGGGAGTGTCGCGGGCCTTGTCGTAGACGCCGGTGTCGACGAGGCTCGTAGCGCCGCCAGGCTTGTCCGGCGCCACTCGCAGCGCGGGCAGGGCGGCGAGGGCGGCAGCGAGCCTCCCCGCGTCCGCCGACCCTCGTAGCGGCAGCGGAACCCGGCGGGGCGGGCCGCTCGGGTCGAGGGGAGGGCGGAGCAGGTGCGGCTTGATGAGGAGATGGCGCGAGAACTTGGAGGGGCGGTGCGAGTCGAGGGCGACCACCTCGATCTCGAGCAGCTGCTGCGGGTGCTGCGACGCACACAGCCCGCGCAGCAGCGCCTCCGCCCGCTCGACGAGCGAGCGGGAGAGGGCGTCGCCGTTAACCGCTCCGTTCACACCTTCCCTCCGCGCGTACTCGAGGTCGAAGTACGGCCAGCATGGCCGGTCTGCATCGATGACCTCGTAATAGTGGCGCCGCGGCGACGCCGTCGCGTAGCGGGCGAAGGCGGCGCACACCGCGGCGTAGTAGCGCTTCGGGCTCGTCTTTGGCTTGCCTGGAATATCCTCTGCCCACAGCCGCCACCGCCGGCCGCCCTCTCTCTTGTTGTTGCGCTGGCAGAGCTGCTCGGCGGTGTCCTTCTTTGCGAAGCGGTAGACTGTGCCGCCGTCGGAGCATTCGCCCAGCGGGTCGCGAGCCTACGAAAGAAAGCACCCGCCGCCCATAGAAAAAGAAACGCGCCGCGCCGCCCTCGCCGAGCAGAGGGTTCCGCGCCTATGTGGACATGTCTCGGACATGTCTCGGACATGTCGCGGACATGTCGCTCGCCCGGCGAGCACGCTCGCCCTCGGTACTCCTCCTCCGCCCGCACCCGCCGGTGGGCCGGGGGGCGGCGGCGGCTGCTGCTGCTGCTGCTGCGGCTGCTGCTGCTGCTGCTGCTGCTGCTGCTGCTGCTGCTGCGGCTGCGGCTGCTCCTGCTGCTCCTGCTGCTGCTGCTGCTGCTGCTGCTGCTGCTGCTGCTGCTGCTGCTGCCGCTGCTGCTGCTGCTGCTGCTGCTGCTGCTGCTGCTGCTGCTGCTGCTGCTGCTGCTGCTGCTGCTGCTGCTGCTGCTGCTGCTGCTGCTGCTGCTGCTGCGGCGGCGGCGGCGGCGGCGGCGGCTGCTGCGGCGATGGGTGCTGGGCCGGCGCCTGCGGCGGTGGCTGCGGCGGTGGCAACGGCGGTGGCAACGGCGGTGGCAACGGCGGCGGAAGCTGCCGCTGCTGCGGCTGTGATGGGGGTGGCGCATCTCCCGGAGGCGAGGTGGCATATCTCCGCAGATCTTGGTAGAGGTAGTGGTAGTGCGTCGGCTTGCCGCCGCCGCCGCCGCCGCCCGCTGCCTCGTGCGCCTGCGGGAGGGAGAAGAGTGGGGAGTGAGGGAAGAGCGGGGAGGGAGGGGCGGCGAGGGAGGGGCGGCGAGGAGGGAGAGGGAGGGGAGGGGACGAGGAGGGAGAGGGAGGGGAGGAGAGGGAGGCGGCGGTGAGGGAGCGGCAGCGGGTCTCCCAAGCGTCTCCCAAGCGTCTCGGAAGGGTCTCGGCAGCGTCTCGGCAGCGTCGCGCCTTTGCGCTCGGGTTGAGCAGCGCGATCTCGTCGCCGGAGGAGAGAGTGTGGAGCTTAGACTTGCCGACCGCCTTGCCGTTGACGTACGTCCCGTTCGAGGAGCAGTCGAGCAGCTGCACCGCACCCTCCGGCATGCGAAAGATCTTGCAGTGCGAGGAGCTGCGGCGGGGAGCGGCGAGGGTCGGCGGGGCGCGGCGTCGGAGTGCAGGGCGTCGGCGGGGCGCGGGACACTCGCAGACGGGGGCGCCGCCGCGCGGGCGGAGTGGCGGGAGCGATGCAGCGGGCTGCGACGCGCGCACACACCTCACGCGGCCGTCGTCGATCTGGATCTGCGCGTGCGCGTTGGTGGTGCGCCCCATGACGCACTGCCGCTGCTTTAGCTCGTGGATCCCAGGCTCGGGCGCCAGGCAGATCAGCCGGCCCCAGGCGGCGTCGGTCGCCGCCTCGTCGCCGCCACTCTGGGCTGGTGGCGTCGTCTCTGGGCCGGTGTCGGGCTGCTGCTCCTGCTCCTCCCTCTCCTCCCTCTCCTGCTCCTGCTCCTGCTGGCGCTGGCGCTGCTGCTCCTCCTCCTCCTCCTCCCGCCTCTCTTGCTGCTGCTGCTGCTGTTGCTGGCGCTGGCGCTGGCGTGGTGCGTCCTCGAGCGCTAGCCGCCGCGCCTTGGTGTCGGCCGTCTCCGCCTCGGCCGCCTGCCTGACCGGCTGCATGGCCGGGGAGCGGGCGGCGCCGGCGCGGGCGGCGCCGGCGGGCAAGGCGGGGCGCTTGCCCGCCGCACCGGCCGGCGCGTTTGGCGTGCGGCTCGCCAGAGGGCCTGCGCCGCCGTCGGAAAGACTGCTGCCGCCGCAGCACTGGCCAGCGCCGCCGCAGCCGCCGGGGGGAGCGGCGCCGCTGGTGGCCGCGATGCCGCCGCTGCTCTCCGCCGCCGCCCGCCTCGCGGCGCCACCGGCTGCGGCGCTGCCGCCGGTTGACGAGTCGAGAAGCGCCTGTCCGAGCCGCGCAATCGAGTCGCCTCGGCTCGGTCGCGTCTTCGGGGCGCGCGATGCGGCCTCGAAGCGGGCCCGCAGCTGCCCGAGGCTGGCGGGCTTGGAGCCGCCGCACGCGCCGCACGACGCGCGCTCGCGGATCAGCGTCTCTGGCTGCGCGCCGCACGGGCAGTACCAGTCGCGGTGCATCTTGACCTCGCGAAAGGGCGCGGTGGGGGGCTGCTTGCCCTCGAGCTCGCTGGCCGCCGCGTAGGCGCCGCGTCCTCTCAGCTGCACGCGGAGCTGCTTCGATCCAGACCCCATTGGAGCCACTGAGACGGCTTGTCTGCCGAGGCTCGTGCTCGACACGAGGTAGTCCTGGACGATGAGCGGCGATTGGCTGACCCCGCCGAGGAAGAGCTCGACGCACTCGGCGGGCGCAGCCGTGGACTCGGCGGGCGCAGCAGACGACGATGCGGCAGGCGGCGACAGGCGCCGCCGCTTCGCCCCCGCGGAAGGTCGTGGCTGTTGCCGATGAGCAGCGACCATCTGTCTCAAACGAGCCTTAGCCGGCAGTGGCAGGTCAGGGTCCCCCGCAAGGCGCGAGACACACGCAGGGGTAACCCGCTCACGGGGAAGGACGAGGTCTCGAGGTTGATATCCTTTGGCCGCGTTGGGTTGCACTCCCTCTGTTCTCTTCTCATAAAATCGTCTCATGCCCTGACACACACACACACACACACACACACACACACACACACACACACACACACACACACACACACACACACACACACACACACACACACACACGGGTCGCTAGAAACAAGAACCCCGCCCGCCATTGTTCTAAAGAAAGAAAGAAAGAAAACAGACAACCCAAGGGAGGGATGGGAGGACGGCACGCCGCCACCACACAGGGATTTTAAGGAGAGGTGTGTGGTGCGCTATCCGTCGCCCACCCTAGGGAGTCTGCCTCTTCCTATCTCTCTTCGCAGTCTCTCGCCGATTCTCGCTGCAACCTTCATATCATTGTTCTTCCAGATGCGTCTCAGAAGAGACGTTTTTTTTTGATGAACGTCTCACGTTCAGGTTGATCAGTCAGGATCAGTGGTGATTTCACCGCCGGCTGCGAGTACTGGTTTCGAGGCGAAGAGCTCTGGAAACTCGACTATCGTCGCGGATCAGCCGAGCCAGCAGGCTCGTGATGCCGTCTTTTGCGCCTTCGATCGCCGCGCGGATCATGACGCCGTCCTTCACCCTGGTGCAGGCCCTATTGATCAGCAGGCGGTCGGACGCCTCCACCACCGCACGCTTTGCCTCGTCAGCCTTGACCTTGGCTGCTGCAAGCCTCCGGAGTGCCGTGTCGCACATCGTGTCGTTCAGCGCATTCTCTCTCTGCTCGCGCTCTGCGGCCTGCGCGGCCTCCAAATTCAATCGCAGCGTGTCGCTATCCGGACAAAGATCTTCAGCCGATGAGCGAGATGCGCCTCGTACACGCACCAAAGCCGCTCGTAGATCGCCGTGTTGGCGTTCGCGAGCATGACCATGCGCGGCTTCGGTTCGCTGTTCAAGACCTTGTAGAAGGGCGATGTCTCCACCCTTCCGTGCAGCGGACTCAGGTCGAGGCACTGCGGGTTGGAGAGGCAGCAGAAGTAGGCCCCATGGCAGTTTTCCGGCCAGTGCTTGAGTGCCGAGTCGATGAACTCGTACACGCCTTCATCCCACGCGTGGGAGAAGAACAGGTCGCAACGCAGCCCGCCGGTCCTGAGGTTCTGCAGCACTGCATAGCTCGCCCCGGGCAGCCGAGCATGCAATTGGCATGCTCAGCGGTGCACGGCTTGATCAGCCCCTCGATTACCTGGTGCATATTCGGCCCGATTGCTGGGTTGTAGAACTTGACGCTTGTTATCGTCCGACTGCCCGCGGATCATGGTTCGCGACGCTTGCACGGCCCGAAGGACACCGCGAGCCGCGCTGCACACAGCCTGATTCACCAATCACAGCCGGAATGAGAGGCAGCCCAGCGCCTTCGCCGAGCTTCAGCACGGAGTCGGCAAGCTTTAGGCCTGTCTCGACCTTTCCGAGCGCCCGCTCCACTGACGCGAGGCGCTCGACGCCTCCCTCCATGTCCAGGGCTTTCGTTGCCAAGGCGGGGGGGGGGGGGAGAGATGGCTGATGGGCGGGCAGGTAAGTGTGTAACTTCGCTCCCCTGTGTCCCCAGTCGTTGGGGTCAGACTGTGTTTCGCTTTCGTAACTAGCTAACTTGTGTGTGTGTGGAGGAATTAGAGACGTACCTTGCCCCGGGCTCCCAGCCGGCGTCAGCTAGTCCCATCATCGCCACTATCTCCCATGCCACCATCGATCGCAACCTCGTCACCGGCGCCGCCCCCAGCGGCCGCGGCCGCGAAACCGGACGCGGCGGCGGTGGCGACCACCCCGCCCTGCAGCTCCTGCAGCGCCTCGGACGCGGGCTGCGGGTTCCCTCCCGACGCGGGCCGCTCATGCCCCTCGTGCCGCGGCGACGCGGTTGGCTCGTCTGGCTGCTGCGCCCGCCCCACCGGCCGGGTGGCCTCTGGCATCCAGCCGCCGCCCCTTCGCCACCGCTCGGAGCCGACGTTGGTCTCCTGGAGCAGCGTCGCCGCGTTAATGCCTACGATGCCCGCGTCGCGCAGCAGCGGCGCCTAGTTCGAGGAGACGAGTCGGGGAGGAGCTTTTAATAAAGACAACCACGATCATTCATCATCAGGGCGGCTGCAGTAGCGGCAGGCAGCGGCGCCTCGTTCGAGAAGGGGTCGAGGAACAGCTTGGCAAGGGAGACAATGGAGGAGTGGAAGAGCGTCACGACAGACGTGCCTGCTCACAACAGAGCGCGTGGCGAGAGAGCGGCAGGGGGGCAGCTTGAAGAGCGGCACGAACAAGCGCGCCCAGCACGGCGCCGAAGCCGCCGACGGAGTGGACGAGCGCAAAGGGCGTGCAGAAGATGAGCAGGTCGGTCAGGATCTGAACCAGCTGCACGTACGCGAGCGGCATGCGCCCGGAGAGCTGGTCCGGGATAGAGGCGTACGTGGAGCGCAGCTCGACGAGCTTGTTCTGCAGCGCCATCTGCAGCGCGATCGGCGAAGTGCCCTGCAGCCGCGAGACCGAAACGCCCAGCCGACCGTCGCCGACCGACGTGTCGAAGAGATTTGAGAGCCACTCGAGGACGGCGTTGTGCATCTGCGCCGAAGCGAGCAGCCCGTCCTTCTCATCCGCCGTCAGCGCGCCAAGGTCGATCAGCGCGTCGAGGCCTTGCGGCGACTGCAGCGGCGCGAATTGCGTGGTGACGGAGGCGTAGAAGAGAATGTTGAAGAGGCGGACGTACCGCGCCACCGTCCGCAGCGTCTCCTCGGCCTCCGACGTGTAGGAGCCCGTGGCGGCGTCTCGTGTCGCAAAGGCGGCGCAGAGGAGGCCTGTTCACAGGCGGAGGTGTGAAGGGGCGCCGTTCACAGCCGGAGGTGTGAAGAGGCGCAGAGGAGGCCGAGGTCGTTGAGCCGGCCCTGCACGCGCCGCGCGGACGAGTAGACGTTTCGCCAGACCGAGTAGGCCTGCGAGAGGAAGAAGGAGAGGACGAAGGAGACGAGGGACGAGGCGAGCAGCCAGACCTTCTCCAGCGGCGAGAGCGACGACGCCAGCGTCATGCGCCAAGCAGGGTGCGTCCAGGCGGGGCCCGGCATGGTGAGGAAGAGGGCGATGGAGCAGGCGACGGCGGTGTTCCAGATGACCTCGCGCGGCAGCACCCTCCGCACGATGGTGCCGGACCACTGCCTCCACAGCCACGCGCGCTGCGGAAAGTACTGCGGGATAATCGGCGCCGAGGCGGCGGTGGAGGAGGCGAGCGACGCGATCTCCTTGAGCTCCTCTCGCGTCCCTCGAGCACGACTCCACAGGTCGCCGCCGTCGATCGCGATGTTGCTCGTCGGCTCGGCCGCCGCCTGCAGCGGCGTCTTTTCGACTAGCCTCGCCGTCCGGTTGACGAGGGTCGCGGTGCCGTTGTGGAGCCATTCCGGCACCCACGCCGGAGCCCACAGGAGAGCCGTGTGCGAACGTGGCCGCCGACTGTTTGCGCGCAGTAGCGCTGGCCGGAGAGCCGACAGCCGCCACTCTGGTCGCGGAGGCGCAGCGCTGCCAAAGTGCGAATGGTGCAGCGCGAATTGGGATATAGCTGTGATAAGGAGCGCGAGGTGCGACGGCGACATCGAAACGGGGGGTGGCTACGCGTTCTCCGGGCGCGGCGGTCTGGACGGCTCCTTCCTCAAGTGTGGTGGCAGCAGTCTGTGGCTGCTGCTTCGCCCCCCCCCCCCCGCGCCTTCGTTGTTAATAGTACCTACCTACCCTTTGCACTCCCGGCGGCAAGAATTGGTGATAAACTGCGGAGAGAGATAGGAAGTGGTAGACGCCCGAGGGTGGGCGACGGCTAACACCACACTTCTCCCCTAAAATCCCTGTGTGGTGGCGGCGTACCGTCCTCCCATCCCTCCCTTGGGTTGCCTGTTGTCTGCAGAGGCGGACGCGCAGCGTGGCGCTGCGGGGTTACCAGGTGCGATCGCGCCTGAGGTCCCCATCGGCATCCTCCGCGACTTGCGGAAGAAGCTGCCAGGGGCGATCACGCGGCACGTGAGTGCCATCAGCGCGGCCGTGCGGGCCAAAATCGAGCGTGTTGTGGCGGAGCTCGTCGATGCCACGTCGCACCCACGTTTCCGCCGCTTGCTGCTCCAGAGCGCCTCGGCGCTGCTAGTAAAGCGGACGGCCTCGGCGCAGGCGGAGTGCGCGCGGCTGCTAGAGTATGAGGGCGCCGAATTGCACACGAGCAACCACTACTACATGGATATCGTTCAGCAGCTCCGCCGCGACATCCTTGCCGAGAAGCACCCGGACGCAAAGGCCGTCTGGTCAGAGAGGCCTTTTTTGCAGCACTTGAACTTCGAGGCGCTCAAGAAGCAGAGCAACCGTGAGCAAGAGCTAGTCGACCTGCAGATCAAGACTTTTGCTTACTGGAAGACGCTCAAGAAGCGGCTGATTGACTACGTGCAGATGGCCGCGCGCTGCAACCTCTCGACGGAGCTTCTCAATGCTCGCCTCAAGCCCGCGCTGCTCATCTCCACCGAGAGTGCCGGCAAGATGCGGACGCTTATGGCGCCCGATGAGAGGCTCGAGCGCGAACGCATCGATGTGGCAAAGCGCATCCAGGCGCTCGAGGAGGCGCACCAGCTTCTCGCCGCTGCGCCCGCATCGCTCGGCCTCTCGCTCGAGGAGCTCGCTCAACGCTCGAAGACGGCGTCTTCTCCGACGGCCGAGCGCAAGCCATCGCCCGAGGCCGCTCCGGCGCCTGCGCCCTTTTCTTTCGCACCGGGAGCCGCGAAGAGTAGCTTTACCTTTGGCGTGCCAGCAGCGGCCTCGCCGGTTGCGGCACCCTTCAGCTTCGGCGCTGCGCCAGCACCGTCTGCGCTGGCGGCTGCTAAAGCTGCTCTGCCGCCAGCGCCAGCGCCAGAGGCCGCGCCGACCTTCACCTACAAGCCTCCCGCGGGCATCAACTCGGTCGGCAGCTGATGCGCCACCGGAGTTCTCCGTAGTCCGTTGGGCAGTCGCCCCGTTGCCAGCGCTAGTATAGCGCCACTCCTAGATCCGTACCGTGTATCCTTAAAGTCCATGGTGGTGGCGGCCTGTCCCATCCACAGATAAAACTGAGAGAGACAGATGATGCAGATGGTCTAGCGTCTGGGGGCCGGGGGGGACGCGCACGCCCGTAGTGGCGAGTTTTAGAATTTTGCAACAAAACTCCCTCGCACAACTAGGTGTCTAGAATCTTTAGAGACTCGTGCCCTTTGCAACGAGCGAAGTTCGCGCCACCTCTCTCCAATTCGGCACTCCAGCCAACGTCGGCGGCGTGCACGAAAAGACGGCGGCGGTGTCGGCGACGTAGTCGGGCGGCGTGTCGAGCGTCGCGACCAGTTCGGGCGGGTTGCCGTACGCGAGCGAGAGGTGCGGCTGGCGGATCGGCGGCGCCCACCCTTCCAACGTGACGGCCTCCACCGACTCGCCGCGGAAGGCTTGGCGCGCGGTGCGATGCGCGCGGCTGAGCTCGGGCGTCGGCGCCGGCACGGCGACGGCGCTCTGGTTCCACGGCACGGTGCCGTCGGCGCCGATGCCGGCGGTCACGGCGCCCGATTTTGCGAAAATGCACGGCACCGCGCCGATGCCGGCCAGCGCCGCGAGCTTCGCGGTCATCTCCGCCTCCGTCCCAGCGCCGGCGTCGCCGAGCAGCGTGATGTGCGGCTCCGAGGTCGCGAGGCCGTGCGTGTCGGCCGCCGCCTTCATCGCCGCGACCACCGTCGCGCGTTGCGGCTCCGGCACGAGCAGCCAGACGCTGAAATGCTGCTTTGAATCCATGCGTGCGACTGTGAGCCAGCGTTGTCGCGTTCGTTTCATAACATCGAAGGCTAGCCTAAAAAAAATCGGCAGCAAAAACAACAACCGTCTACTTCTCCTCTCGTCTTGTCGCAGGCGCACACGCGCGCGACGTGCGCTCGTTCGCCGCGTTCGCTCCGCGAAGGGCGATTCGAACCGGGAGCCAGTCGGCGCAGCGGCGGCACGCGGCGGCAAAACGCACGACGCTCACCTCATGGAGATGCTGCGGCTTTGGCACCTCCTGATATAATGCTGATTTTTTGCTGAGCGGGGCGGAGGCACGCGGGCGGCGGAGGCGGCGGCGGACGACGTCTACTTCCCCTGTGGTAGCTTAGCGATCAGGGAGGATCTACCTGTTCGGCCTCGAGGAAGCTGCTGGGGGAGAGGGGGGGAGAGAGGAGAGGAGGAGAGGGGAGAGGATGAGAAGAGGAGAGGAGAGGAGAGGAGAGTACTGCGGAAGTATCAGATATGCTGGCTCCGCACAAAAGTCGTGCAGAGCCGCTTCGGACTGAGAGCATAATTGGCAGCCGTCGACTGGCTGGCCTATGGGCCTCCCCGAGCAGTGGAGAGCGTCGCGCAAGACGGTCACGAGCTACATCATGTACGGAGATCATGGCACATGGCCCATCCGATGTCGCGCCGAGGGATACCAGCGAACCTCCTCTTTGCCGGCATCTTGATTCTTGAGCACACCAGCAGCGCAGCACAGGCGTGAAATCATTCGCAAGTCGTGGCTCGACCCGCTGATGCACGGCTTCAGCTATGCGTTTGTTGTTGGATCTGGTGGAAGTCACTCGGCCTCGACAATTGCTGCACTCCACCGCGAGCAATCACTGCGATCCGATGCTGCTCACGACTACCGTGGACAGAAATAGCACACCACACACACAAACCCAACCAACACACACACACCCACAACCCTAACCTGGATCGAACCCTAACTAACCCTAACAAGGAATGATCAGCCACCGACCACCTTGGCTGTTTGTTCACGATGCGCCCCGATCACGCCACGAAGGCCCTCGACATCTCCGTCGGCACAAGGGTGGAGGCAGACGGCGGACTCACGCCTCTCGTCCTCCTCGTCAGTGCCGTTGCCGCGATTGGCGGCTTTGTGTTTGGGTACGACATCGGCGGCGGCGGTGGTTCCTTTGCGATGCAGGGTTTTCAGACGCAGTTCGGCTGGGCAAACAAGTCCGAGGCCGTGAGAGCCGATGAGATCGGATGGATCTCGGCGCTTTTGACTCTCGGGGCCGCCGCCGGCGCGGCGCCGTCGGGCATCCTCTCCGACCGTGTCGGGCGACGTCCTTGCATCATCACGAGCGCCCTCATCTTCTCGATCGGTGCGAGCCTGCAGGCCTTCGCGTCGGGCTCGCCGTCAGCGTCGCTGGCCCAGCTCTATGTCGGCCGGCTGGTCGGAGGGTTTGGCGTTGGCATGCTCTCGACGACGGTGCCAGTCTACATCGCCGAGTGCGCGCCCGGCAGCTGGCGCGGCTCGCTCTCGATGTGCTGGCAGTTTGCCATCGTCATCGGCATCGTAGTCGCGAGCCTCGCCAACGTGCCTCTCGCGCACTGGGATCAGGGGTGGCGCGTCTCGTACGGCGAGCCGCCGCAGCTCTCTGCCTGCCTCTCTGCCGTGGCCGTCTTCTCACCGCCACCCTCGCGCCTCGCACAGGTGGCAACGTGGTCTTCGCCTTGCTGCTCGCGCTGCTGATGGTGTGGATGCCAGAGTCGCCCCGCTGGCTCGGCCAACGCGGCCGCGAGGCCGCCCTCCGCCGCACCCTCTCGCGCCTCCGCTCCTCCACGCTCGCCGCGGAGGAAGAGGCGACGTCGATCGAGGCCAAGGCGGCCGAGGAGGCGGCGGGCGGCGCGAGCAGCTGGCGCGGCCTCCTCCGGCGGCCGCTGGCGATGCGGCACCGCATGCTGCTCGGCGTCGCGCTGCAGTGCTGGCAGCCGCTCGCGGGTATCAACGCGATCATGTTTTTCGCCCCCAAGATCCTGCTCGCCTACTTTAGCGCCGAGGCGCCGCCCCGGCTCCCTCCCCATATCTGGCAGCTTCGCCGCCACGTGTGCCAACACCCACGCCGCTAGTCCCAACGCCGCCGCTCTCCCCCCGCCGCCAGCCCGTGCCGCCGGCTCCACGCCGCAAACCCCATACCGCCCCCCTCCCGCGCCAGGCCGCCCTGTGGGGCACACTTGGCATCAACGTCGCCAACGCCGCCGCGACAGTCGTCGCGCTGGTCGGGGTCGACCGGCTGGGCAGAGTGCCACTCCTGCTGGCGTCGGGTCTTCTGATGTGCGTCTGCCACCTGGCGATGGTCGCGCTGGCCCTCTCGCCGCCCTCGAAGCAGCTCGGCTACGCTGTTGTCTCGGTCGCGTCTCTCTTTGTCGCCTCGTTTGCGTTCGGGTGGGGGCCGCTGCCGTGGACGGTGTGCTCCGAGATCTTCCCCACGAAGTACCGCTCCAAGGCCACCGCGGTGACGACCGCCACCAACTGGCTCGTCAACACCGCCGTGGGCAAGGTCTTCCCGCTCCTCCCCCTCGCGACCGCCTTCGCCATCTTTGCCGCCGCCTGCTTCGCCGCCTGCGCCACCGTCTTCTTCTTCCAGCCCGAGACGGCCAACCTCGGCATGGAGCAGATCGACGAGGCGTTTGAGAGCCACCGTGTCCGCCGCGTCTCGGCCAAGCTCTGGAGCGCCGACCGCCGCGCGAGGATCCGTGCGGAGGGGCGGCGCCGCATGCGCGCCGCGGCGGGTGCCGCGGCGGTCGCCTATGCGTCGGAGGTCCGCGCGGCGGGCGGGGACGGCGCGGCGGGGGTGGGGAAGGGGGAAGAGAAACGGGAGTCCATCGTGTGAGGGACTCCGCCATCAGTAGGAATGCGATATGCGTGTGGAGCGACGCAAGGTGAGCACATTCCCACTTGTAATTTATTTCCAAATTTGTGCTTGGAGGATTGGACCATGTGGAAGACGGCTAAATAAAGTAGTGCTAGTCCCCCATCGGGAGGACGACCCCGGCTAGTCGCCGACCACACCCACAAAGAACCCTGCACAAAGATCGCACGGGCGGGGACCTGTTCCTTTTTACCCATCTCACAGTAGAGAGAGGTGTCCGTTTTTAGTTATTTATTTATTGGAGGATTGGAGGCGAGAGGGAGAACGTGCGCCCGCGTCGTAAAGCCACGTATAAAGCCGTCAGACCGGGCGTTTCTTTTCGATTTCGTTGCTAGAAAGATCTGCTCTTCGCTCATTCCAGAGATTCGTCTTCTGCTGCGCACCTCAATCACCAGGTACAAAATAGTTGAAGCGAGACCCGCGCCATCTTCTGCTCGCGGTCGCTGGCAGCGGCCGGCACGGGTGCGGATCGCAAGGCGGAGGCTCCCACTGGCAGTCCTCCGGGAAGAGCGGCTCGTACCCGAGCAGCTTCCGCACCACCAGCCACCCGAGGTCCCAGTCGAAGTTACCTGTTCACAGTCCAGGCGATGTGAACGGCTCCGCTTCGCCCGTGGCCGTCGCCAAACGGCAAGCGATCTGTTGCGCCGACGTCGCCCCAATCAAAGTCGGGCGGATCCGCCGTCGGAAGAAAGAGCCAGCCGGGCACGGTGGGCGCGCAGAGGCACGGGAAGAGAAAGCAGCCGCGCACGAGGGCGGTGTAGGCGAGGTAGGCGAGGGTGACGGCGAGGCCGACCATCGTCATCGCCGGGCCCGTGCGCGGTGGGCAGGCAACGGCCGGGCTGAGCAGGAGGGGCGGGATGCCGTGATAGGCCTGTGCATGACGGCGCGGGGGGGGGGAGGGGGGGGTGTCAGCGGCATCTCTTCACAGCGCTGCGAGCGGTCGGTGGACGCTGCTGCCACGGCGTAGACGACGACGGTGAGCGGCAGAAGCCACAGCAGCAGCATCGAGAGGCGCCAGCGGCCGACAACGATCATGATGACGTTGACGATCAGCAGCGTCCACATGTACACCCACCTCTGGCTCCGCACCTCCGACGCGGGCACGGGCGCGCGAGATTAGCCGAGGCTAGCCGAGAGTACACACCCGAACGCGGCTCCCGCACACCTCGACGGGCACGCGCGAGCCAAGGACGAGCTTCACCTGCAGCCCCTCCTGCTCGGTGGTGTAGCAGAGGCACCACGTGCAGAGCGCGAGTGCAAACTGGTCCCTGCATTCCAACCATGCGGCGAGAGGCGGGAGCCGTGATGAAAGCAAGAGAGGTGGCACGTTGCTACCCAGAGCGAGAGAGGTGAGAAGCAAGCAGGTGAAGGGCGGGGCGGGGGCGACTGGCGCACAGGGAGATGTGGGGAGATGTGGGGAGATATGGGGAGATCACATGTTCAGGATGACTTGGTACATAAGATACAGGTTGGGCAGCTCGTGCAGGCTGGACTCGAAGTAGACAGCGTAGATGCCCGTCACGGTGAAGGCGAGCTGCGCCGGGATGATCACGCTCTGTACCTCGCAGAGGGCCGCCAGCCAGACCGTGGTGCAGTAGCCGTACGAGTTGGCCTCGGGCCGCGACCCCATCGACCTAGAGTCGGCCTCCGGTGATTCGGCCTCCGCGCTAGAGCGTGCCGCGAGAGAGCTCTGGCGTCGACCGCAGCAGGATCCGCGTCGCGAACCAAAAGTCGTACTATGGAGGCGAGGAAGGATGGCGGTGAAGCGCGCGGGAGAGCTCAGGGCGGGGAGGCGGGCGGGAGGGCGGCCGGTCGCCTTGTTGCCGTACTGCCCCAGCCCGTCGCCCCACATGATGAAGCCGAGGACCCAGAAGGCGAGCGACACGTAGGTCAGGACTTTGGCGACGCGGAGGACGGACCTGTGGGGCGGTAGTAGTAGTAGTAGTGGGGCGTGTGTTATGATGTGTATGTGTGTGCCCAGAATTAAGGCTGTGGGTGTGGCCGGGGCAGGGCGGCGCGCACGGCGTATCGTCCGACAGGAGGTGACTCCACGTCCCTTGGTCATAGGCGTCGGGGACGGCCATGATGAAATCCTGCGAGGGCACCGATCGGAGCTCAGGGCAGGAGGGTGAGCTTTATCTTTGTGTCAGGACGGATCTACCGGAGGGAGATTTGGGTCAAGAAGCGGGTGATACGTTGAGATGCTGCGGAGCGCCTGCACCACGAATGACTCGAGGAACGTGGCGATCCAGAGCTGGGTGAAGGTCGCAACGAAGACCGCAAGCCACTGGTGGATGTTGCACGCGATGCACGTGTACCAGCAGAGCTGCGTGACCGGCCACGAGCAGCGGCAGCCCAGCCAGCTGAAGAGGACGTCAGAGCGGCTGCTACCAGGAAACGGGACTTGGACGGGCTGCGGGGCATTGCTCCCGGGGAAGCGCGAGTAGGGCGGCATCGTCGCGCCGACGGGTACATAAGGGTGCGAAGGCGCAAAGAGGTTGCTCGCATCGACGTGCGCTCTCCGCACCTCCTCCGCGCACCCGGCCGTACTGCTGTCGCCCTGCCACACCGCATCGAAGGGGAGGGCAGTTGTGTATGCCTCCGGCGCCTCCTCGGCTTGCTGGCCGGCTTCGAGCGCTTTTAGCCTGTCCTTGAGTGGGTTCAGGCTGTCCTCATTATCATCGGGCTGCTCTGGCGTGTACCCCACGGAGGGAAATAGCGTCATTCCGACCCGGTTGGTCCTCACGTCCGGTTCCGGAAGCACAAACGGGAACCCGCTGACAACCTGAAGCGCCTCGTTGGCCTGCTGGCGCGAGATGGCTGCGTAAATCGCCCACTTGAGGACGTCTTGTGAGGTCATCGTGTAGACCTTTGGCGGGTCGCCGGGCTCCCGCGCAGCACGCGCACGGCGATTGAAGCTAGCAGCAGGCAGCAGGCGATCGCGAACGAAGCTCATGAAGGAGTGGTGTTCGTTGGAGACGAGAGGCTGCGCGGTGTGATCGACCATCTGCTGCGCGGCAGGGCTAAGCAGAACGTACGGAAGGATCTCGTTCTCTGTCGGAAGAGCGTAACCGCCCGCCGTCCCAGCATTCGCGGCGCTCGTACCGTCGTACCCTATTCCGCCGCCAGGAAAGAGGGCGCTTTCGAGGTCGCGGATGCGGCTAGCCAGGGCATTGATGTGGCTGCGTGCGGCGGCTTGCTGCGCCGCCATCGCCGCGTCCTGCGCTCGCGCCTTCGCCGCCATCGCCGCCATCGCCGCGTCCTGCGCTTGCGCCTTCGCCGCCATCGCGGCGTCCTGTACGTCCATGCGGCGCAGGAGGCTTTCACCCTCGTCCGTGACCCACGACGACATAACGCATAGTGCAGAGACAAGGTCGGTGGAGACGCTGGTTGGAGCGTGGGATGGGTTGCTGAGTGTGAACACGATTGCCGATGTTCTCGAGGTTCTCGAGGTGGATATCCTTTGGCCGCGTTGGGTAGCGTGTGTGGTGTGTGTGTGTGCGCGCGCCCGCATAGCCAAACTCTTGAACCCGTCTAAAGACGCCGTCGCCAACTGTCATGTCGGTAGCCGCTCTGCACCGCTCGCTGCTGGCGCGCGGTTGATCGCGGCGCCGACGCCGCGGCGGCGCCATCTCGCTCGCGCGGCGAGAGACGGCGCTGCATCGGCGCCAAAACAAACGGGAGGTCGCGGCGCAAAAACATCGACGTTCGCTTCTGCTTCTCGTCTCGTCTTGTCGCAGGCGCACACGCGCCTTGTCGGATGTCGCAGGCGCACACGCGCGCGATCCGCGTCGCTCCGCGAGGACACGACCACCGGGATTCGAACCGGCAGCATAAGAGCGCCGGCTCGAACGCCGGCCGATCGTGCCACGGAGTCATGCAGGTCTTGTACGCTTTGCAAAACCGGCTCGTGGATATATGACTGGTTTTGTCCGCGGGCGCGAGGGCACTGCGGCGGCGGGCGGCGGCGGCGGAGGCGGCTGCAGCAGCACACGGGCTGGCGGCGGCGCGCGGACGGTGGCGGCGGCGCGCGGACGGCCAGCGGCGAAGCGGCGGCGCTGCTCCTCTGCTGCTGATGATGACAATGATGCTGCTCCTGCTGCCCCTCCCGCCCGCCAGCTGCCCGCACGCTCGGTGGGATCTCTTCACCTTCACACTGGTCGAGTCATAGGTGCGAGGGGCGTGTGGCATGTCTCGCGAGTCTCGCGAGGGGCGCCTACCAACCTCGCTTGCGAGGGGCGTGTGGCATGTCTTGCGAGTCTCGCGAGGGGCGCCTGCCAACCTCGCTTCGCGGCGGCGGGTGGGGTGATTACTTATTAATTAATTAATTATTAATTAATAATCATATAATCATCGGGCGGCGGCGCGGCGCGGCGGCGGGCGGGGCGGAGCGGGGCGGCGTGACCATCTGTACTGAACGGGCCAGCTAGCTGGTCCTTGAGTCAGCGCAATGGTCGCGCCGCCCTCGACTCAAGGGGCTGCCTTCCACACGTCGCTGCTCAGGCCGGGGGAGGGGGGGAGACCTCCTATTCCTCGCGGGACGGGAGCAGGCCCCTCCTTGCCCGGTCTGCAATGCAGGGCGGTGGTCGTGCCATCTTCGCGTCGTACTCGAAACCACCACGCCGCAACCGTCGCCGGCGCGCGACACGTTCCCGTAGGCCGGACTGTCCTCGTCGAGAGTGTGTGCCGCCAAGGCGGGACACTCAGGGGCAGTGCCGACGGGACGCGGCTCGAAGGGTGTGGCTCCGCAGCGCGGCTGGCACTCGTCGCAGAGGCCTCACCTTCAAAAAGTCGGGCATGGCTCTCCCCGCAACTTTCTCGCTAACACGCGCGCACCGTCGAGCCTGGGGCGGGCGCGCTGCGGCCGCACGTCTAACTTCGTCATAGTGCCACGACGTGCGGCCTAGATTTAGCCCACGCGCCTCTGCTTGCAAACACTCACCCATTGAATTGTCACTGTCCGTGAGTGCGAGATAGGGCTAGCAGTAGGCAGCTAGCCTCTGAGGAGGGCGTCCATAGACACCTCACTAGACCCCCCACACGGTCTCGTCCGGGCCTCGCCGGACGGCGAGATTGCTAGAGGTGGAGCAAGCTGCTCTAGCCTCGCATGTTACTCCTGTCGTCTGTTGTGATGTTGTGCCCTTGTTTGTTTCTCTTGGCACCTTGGAGTGCTGGGGGGGGGCGACAGGAAGAATGTGGCCCTGAGTTATGTGTACGCCAACTCAGGGTGTGTGGCAGCCAGCTGGCTGTGCGGTGTCTTGTGAGCTTGTTTGTGTCTGTGTGTCGCTCGTGCGTGTCGTCATCATCTGTCTTGCGTCCACCCATACCTGAAGCCCGGCGCATTTCTATCTCGAGGCGCTGCTCGGCGCCGAAACAATCGGATCATAATATAAAGACAGCGTTAATCGCGCACACACATCACACTCCCTGCGCAATAAAACGTATCCCGTTACGACTATCTATACTCTTGAAGGATCCCGCAGACGCACCGCGCGGCGGAGCGTGCGGTCTCACGCGGCACTCGCCGTGTCCTCGTGAGGAGCTAGCACTGCTTGGGACAGGCTGTGGTTGAGGCCGCGGCGCAGGCAGTGCGAAAGGACCTCCTGCGGCTCGCCGTCGAGCATCGCATAGCCGAGGAGCTCAAAGTCCCTCTTGTAGACCCGGTTGACGATGCGAATCGTCGCCGGCGTGTGGCGCGTCTGCGTCAGCAGCGCGCAGGGGTCGCAGTGCTTCGGCCCGCAGAGGCGGCCGCGCGACTCGCGCGGCGAGCTCTTCACATTCTCACGCGGCAGAACGCCAACCTCGAGCCCGAGGCGCGGGAAGATGCGGCGGAGGTCCTCCTCGAGCCGCTCGAACTTTGCGACGTGCGTCACCGCGCGTGAGCCGTCGGGCCAGTGCGTGAACATGGTTGCCGGCCTGAAGTGCGTGATGGTCGGGTCGTGCCACCAGGCGAGCGTTCCGTTGGCGAGGTTGGCGTCCAGCCACTCCAGGTAGGCGCCGAATGTCGTCGGGTGGGGCGCGTGCCTAAGTGGACAGTCTCGGGGAACCTAAGGCAATCTCGACTGATCTCGGGCAGTCCTCGTCGGGTGGGGCGTGTGCCGGCAGGCCGGTGGCTCGCACGGCCAGAAGCGGTCGTAGCCGGGAAGCTGATCCTCGACGCCAGGCTTGCCCAGCAGCTCAGTCGTCGTGCGCTGGTCGAAGGAGGCGAGGACGCGAGTGTATGGGTGCCTCACGCTCGAGAAGGAGCGGTACCTGCGAGAGTGCATGAGGATCGTCCGAACGTGCCCTAGATTGCCTGAGAATATACGAAGGAGCCTTCGCTGCACGCCCTCGACGTCGATGGCGCGGAAGTCGGCATCGCGGTCGCGTGTGGCGAACCTTTCAACTTCGCTCGGTGTCGTATGGCACCTGTCCATTCGGTCTCGCACGATTTGTGACGACATGGAGAGCATGTACCATAATCGGACGCAGCCGCCCGTCGCCAGCAGCGCGTCTGTGATGCTCAGGCCAGCACACTTTGGGACGTGGTAGAAAGCAACCTCTCTCTCGCGGCAGACGACGAATGCATCCACGTGCAGCAGAGCAGCGAAACCGAGCGCGAGCCTGAGCATCGTCCCAGACCGAGCTTGTAGCATCGTGCAAGTGGACCCCTTGCAAGGGCGTCACGTTGATTCGTCTCAGTCACGACGTGAATTCGTCCCTCGGTTCTACAGGCACCCCGCTCACACTCCCGGACGGAGAGAGACGCGTTTTGACTCAAAATCCTGCCTGTACGTACACGCGTCCCCACATGCCGGCGTAGTCGACCTGCCGTAAATTCAGCGCAAAAAAAGAGGGCTCGTCCAGTCTGCGTTTCCTGATCCTCTGAGCAGGCGCACATCGCTTCCAGGGAGGGGGGCGCCCTTCTCTCCACACCACATGCTAGGGGGGGGGTCCGACCCCCCCCCAGCACCTTCACCACATGCTAGGGGGGGGGTCCCGACCCCCCCAGCACCTTCACCACATGCTGGGGGGGGTGGGGCGTGGAGGAAGGGCCTCCGTGACAGGCGCGCGCAGTGGCGCACGCCCAACGTCTTCCCCTCCACCCTCGAGAGTACCTATGCGCTAGCCGAGGAAGGGCGGTGGCCAATGCGCGGGCGAAGGGAGGGGGCGGGGCGGGTCGGGCGGGCGGGCCCTCTGTCGCTTCGCAAACGAAAAAACAAAATAAAACCCAGCAAAAGAGAAAGCGAGGCCAAAAAACGATTGCGTAAACGGCGTCACAAAGCCCGCCGGTTTTGATCGACAATCGTGAGATTGACCGCCGTCGACCAGAGAATCGACGGCAGCATGCAGACGATGTGCCAGCTTGCACGGCGCTCGCGCCGCGCCGGCTGGCTCATCGAGCGCGCTCTCAGGCGCCATCCGGGCCACGCGCGGCGCCGCGCGTGCCTCGCGCCACTCGCCTCGGCTGGCAGTACAACGCCAAAGCCGCCTCGCAAACACCGCGCACAGCACCAGCATGCTGCCCACCAGGCAGCAGAGTGCTGCACCGGCGTGCAGCGGACGCTGCGGCGCTGCGGCGCCGCCTCCCTGCTCTGTCCACGGAGCAGGCGAGCGGCGGCACGGCCTTCCACCAGCTGCAGGAGGTGCGCACTTCCCGGTGGAAGCACAGGATGCTCCCTCCGCATACGCAGCTTTGCGCAGCGCAGCGTACGGGCCACGCCACGCAAAGCCGACCCTCAGTCTGCCCAAGAGGCTGTCTGCGGAAGGCCTGGCAGCGTGTACTCGCCTCCTCCGCGGCCATGCCCTCCGCCCGGGCGAGCGAGGAGCGGGGACACAACCATTTCTGGAGCCGAGGAAGATTTCTTTTACTGCGTGTATGCTCAATCGTTGCTCGAAGCAGCACCCGCCGGCGCGATGGAGGCGAAGCTCTCACAAAGCCTCGACGACATCGTCGCCGCGAGCAGACGAGCGAGCGGCGGCGGCACGAAGCGGCGGCACCAGACGAGGACGCCGATTGCGAAAGCCTCGCGCGGCGACACCATCTCCTCGCGGCTGGGAGGCAAGACCGGCGGCCGTCCCGCCGCAGCGAAGCAAGCCTGGCGGAAGCACGTCCAGCGGAAGCGCGACGCTGCCACCGGCGAAACGGTGGTTCGGTTCTACGAAACGGACGTCGTCAGGATCGGCACCGATGACATCGTGCTCAGCAGCGGAGGGTACTCGAACGACGTGACGCGCCGCTGCATCAACGACGCATTGTCCAACTACGTCTTCAGCGTCAAGCAAAGCCTCAGCGGGGACTGGTTCGTCTCCGACGGCCGCACTCGCCTCGTGCGATTTACCGACGGCATCGTGCTGAGTGGCGCTGCGAGGGAGCTCAAGGAGCGCGAGCAGCGCGGCCACTGGCGGGGCTAGCCAGCTGCGGACTGTGCCTTTCTTCGGATGTAGGCAGAGCGGTCGTCATCGGTGCGGGAGCGAGCCATCGGCTTCTACCTGCGCATGGGCGGAGATCCCGGCAGGATTCCATTGGCATAGCTTCTGTCTGAGACGTGAGAGAGCTCTTTCCTGCTAATAGAGCCGTGGTGCGACACGAGCCGTATAGACCTTAGACCGTAGTGCATTTCTGTTAATCCGTAAAAGTAAAAGTCGTACTTTATGGATATACGGCTCTAGTCGTTTGCACTTTGCTAGTTGTGATGCGTCCCGCCGCGCGTGCGGCGTGGGACGGAGCTTGGTGCGCTGAGTGGTGACTGGTTCGTGGTTGGAGAGACCACTGTGACCAGAGACTGAGAGAAGCGGCGAGCGGGACCGCACACATGGCACATGCGACATGCCCCCAGCCTGCGGCCCAGCCAGTGTCAGTGGAGGGAGGTCGTACTCGCCCGCAGCGCGCGGCCCTCGCGGCACCGCGGCAGGCCCTCGCCTCTTCAGCACACGGGGTACGGGCACACGGCTCCCGCCCGCGCCTCCGCGACCTCGGCGGCCCACACCTCGATCTTCTTAGGCAGCGACTGGTTGGACTCGTCCCCTCCGTGGCCGAGGCACAGCCCGCGGCCGTACCCCCAGCTGAAGACGGCGCCCTCGGCGGTGGCGGCGAGGCTGTGGCTGTTCCCCGCCGCCACGGCGACCACGCGCCGCCCCGAGAGCGCCTCGACCCTCTTCGGTCGTCCCTGGTTCTCCTCGGTGCCGTGGCCGAGCTGGCTCGTCTTGCCGTCGCCCCACGACCAGACGTCGCCTGCAGGGACGGGTCGGGGGAGCGCTCAGGGCACGGGGCGCGAGTCGCTGTCGCGTTTTGAATCCGCCGGGCTGACGGCCTCCCTTCCCACCAGCCTCTACCTGCTTCTGAGACCTCTCGGGCTGTGTGTGTGTTGTGTGTGTGTGTGTGTGTTGTGTGTGTGCGTGCATGCGTGCGTGCGTGCGTGCGTGCGCGCGCGCGTGCGTGCGTGCGTGCGTGCGTGCGCGTGCGCGTGCGCGTGCGTGTCTGTCTGTCCGAAGTGAGGCGGCGCCGTCGGCGGTGATGGCGAGGTTGTGCTTCCAGCCGACCGACACCGCGACGACCCGCCGCCCCGCCAACGCCTAGAGAAGAGAGCAGCAAGGCGCCCCCTCACTCGTGGGGGTCGGGGGGACAAGGTCGCCACGCCAAGCCGGACGCCTCGACCCTCTTTGGCAGCAGCTGGTGCAGCTGGCCGCACCCGCCTCCCACCGCCCAGCCGCACTGCGGGCATCCGTGCCCCACCTGCGCCGCGTGGACGGCGGGTGAGCCGAGATTTAGCCGAGATTTAGCCGAGAGGAGCCGAGAGGAGCCGAGAGGAGCCGAGAGGAGCCGAGAGGAGCCGAGAGGAGCCGAGAGGAGCCGAGAGGAGCCAGAGGAGCCGAGGTTTCGCCTGTGCCGCGTGGCCCCAGGACCAGACGGCTCCGTCGGCGGTGATGGCGAGGCTGTGCATCCCGCCCGCAGACACGGCGACCACGCGCATGCCGCGCAGCGCCTCGACCCTCTCGGGCCTGCGGCGAGGCAGGGCGAGGTGAGGCGAGGCGCGGGGAGGGGTCCGAGGAAGTCCTTGCTCACTTCTAGGCGAGGGGAGCTTCAGGCGACCTCCACGTGCAGCCAGTAGCACGGCGTGCCCTAGCGGTGGCGGCCTCGCAAGGGGGGGGCACCGGCACCGGGGCCTGGCTGTCTGCATCTATGCCAGAGGCGCCTCGCGTGGTTCTCATAGTCGCCGAGCCCGAGCTGCCCCTGTGCGCCGTACCCCCAGCTGAAGACGGCGCCGTCGGACGTGAGGGCGAGGCAGTGCGCGCCGCCCGCCTACCGCCACCGCCTGGCTCAGGGAACGCTCCTGCGGGGGAAGAGGCTGATGGCGGCCGCCCGGCGCCGAGACGGCGACGACGCGCTGCGAGTCGAGCGCCGCGATCCTCTGAGGGAGCCTGAGAGGGGTCGCGGGGAAAACGGTTCCCCCCTCACCCCGAGGGGGGCCCCCCCCCCCCCCCCACCCGCCCGCCCGCCCGCCCGCCCCGCCCTCTCCCAGGGCTGCACGGTGTTGAAGGGGTGCGCAAGGCTGGAGAAGAGCGCGCCTCTGGTTTTGGTAGTCCCCGTGGCCGAGGCGCCCGTCCGTCCCCACGCCCCAGCTCCAGACGCCTCCGCCGGCGGTGATTGCGACGCCGTGGCTCCCTCCCGCCGACACCGCCCTCACGCGGAGGCCGGCAAAGGCGTCGATCTCCCGCGGCTGCGGCTGGTGCGCCTCGTCGCCGTGGCCGGAGCAGGCGCCGCGGCCCCAGCTCCAGAGGCCTCCGCGGGCGGTCAGGGCGTAGCTGCAGCGGGGACCCGCCGAGACGCTCACCACGCGCTCGCCGTCGAGCGGCGAGGCGAGTCGGGTCGGCGTCATCATTTGCCGCACTCCCTCGCCGTGCCCGAGGAGGGCGGGGAGGTATGCCGCCTGGCCGCGGAGGAGGGAGCGGGGCGTGGGCTCATGACGGAGGGAGCGGGGCCACGGAGGGGCGGCTGTGCCGATCGCGTGGCCGAGCGCGAGCCGACCGGGGCGGCGGCAGTGAGGACGGAGGTGGGGGCAGTGGCAGTGAGAGGAGGGGCGGCGGAGAGAGGCAGCAGGCAGCACCTTGCCACATGACGAGAGCCGCGCATGTTCGTCGACAAAGATGCTGTGGGCACTGCCCGCAGCGATGCGCTGGTGACGGTTCGCGTCGTGCATCAGCGCGACGAAGAGCCGCCATTTTTTAGGGCACTCGCCCTCGGGAGCGTTAGGCACCTCGTAGCCGCCCTCCTGCTCGCGCAAGCGCATGCCCTCGTCCGCGAGCGAATCACGAAAGACGCGCGAGACGGCAGCAGTCCAAGCGACGTCGACCGCGCATGGGAGGAGCGAGATGATACGAATGAGGAGCTCAAAGGGAAGTGCGAGGAGCAGCGACGTTGCAGCGGTCGGCGGCGACGCTGACGGGTCCGTGGCGACGGAGCAGCGAGACTGGCGGCGACGGGTGAGTAGAAGCAGTGGCGAGGCGGCGCGGCGAGCGCCCGTGGCCGGCGGCGGTGGCGTCGAGATCGGCGGCGTGGACATGTGTTGCCTTGCAATTTGCGACACGCGGCACTTTTGCAGCAGAGATCATGCACAGCCGAAGGCGACGGGGTTTTCATTTCTTTTTTTGCGTGGTCCAGAACTGGCACGGCTGGCAGCGGCTGTCCGTCGTTATCCACACCGCTGTGGCGTGGCAAACGGTGAACGAGCTAGCGTGCGGGGAGGCAACGTTCGTGCACGGAGCACGCAGGTCGCAGCTTTGTACAAACAAGCAACAACTCAAACAAGCTTAGTTAGTGCATATTACTTACCGTTCTCAATCAATGGAGTCGCTTAGGCGGTGGTGTGCCTGTGTGTTAGTACCAGCACGTGCCAGTCCGCGCCTGTGTCGAGCCTGTATATAGCCTGCTATGTGAGAGAGGCGGTCTAAATTCTTTTTGTGGTGTGTGTGTGCGTGCGTGTGTGTGTGTGTGTGTGTGTGTGTGTGTGTGTGTGTGTGTGTGTGTGTGTGTGTGTGTGTGTGTGTGTGTGTGTGTGTGTGTGTGTGTGTGTGTGTGTGTGTGAGAGAGAGAGATTTTTAGCAATACCAAACAACTGTGTGTGTGTGTGTGTGTGTGTGTGTGTGTGTGTGTGTGTGTGTGTATGCGCCCAGGGAGGGCGCATGCGTAACGACGCTGCTAGAGATGCCTTTCGGGGCCCAGAGATAAAACTTCTGATGCCATGCGTGACCTAGTAGTGTCCCCAGCTATGGGCGTGTCCACGTTGGAGCCAGGTGTGGTGTGGACGCGAGAATAGCTCCGCCGTTCATGGAGGCAACCGATGCGAGTCGACTGGTGTGTGTCGTCGTGGTTTCGTATCAAGAATACTCACTCACTCACTCACTGTGTGTGTGTGTGTGTGTGTGTGTGTGTGTGTGTGTGTGTGTGTGTGTGTGTGTGTGTGTGTGTGTGTGTGTGTGTGTGTGTGTGTGTGTGATAGTAGAGATTGTTGGTTTGTGTGAGTGATCGCTCAATAAAGCGTGCAGCCCTTTGTCTCGCGCGCGTCCACCATACGTCCTACTGCACCTAACACACCATACTACGGCGCTTGGACGCGTGCGTAAGTGATTATTCTTGATACCAAATCACGACGACACACACCAGTCGACTCGCATCGGTTGCCTCCATGCCTGCCGGAGCACTTGGATCACTTGGAGTGCAGTTATCAGCCTCACATCCACCGTTAAGCCGGCGGCCAAAAAGGTGGTGGCAAAGAAGGCGCCGCCGAAGAGGGTTGTGAAGAAGGCAGTCAAGACCGCGAAGGGGGCGCCGGCTGCATCGGGCCAGCCATAACCGAGATGAGAAGCAGCGATGCGCGCCGCGGGTAGCACAGAGTGAGAAGCTAAGCCACAGAGGTGCTCTCATGTGCCTGTGCAGGCGGCCCCGCGCCCGCACCCCCTCCTCTGCGCCGAGCTGCAAACCTCGCCTTACATCCATCTCGCAACCTTCCCCACCCGCCTCAGCAGGCGGCCCGTTCGCCGTCTTCTTCCTCGCGGTGCCGTGGCTCGCGATCGGGGCTCAGGCGCGAGGCCGCGACCGAGAAAAGAGATGCACAAGACACCGAGCGCACTTGTGCTTGTCGCTTGTGCATGCACATGTTGACGCCTCGCGGGGTGACACGCAGTCAGAAGAGGCTTGACTCACAATGGGGCTGGAACGTCGCTCTCCCTCCGATAGGTCGCTACGGGTGCGTGAACGCAGCAACGAGCGCACAGACAGCGTTGAAGAACTTGTCATAGCCCGCGCCGGACCGCGCAGCAACTGCTGAGCGTGCCTGTGTGGCGGCGCGCCTCTCTGTGCAGACTGGCAGTAACACCCCGCGCCCGCCCCCGGGAGAGACCGAGGGCCCCCACGCATGGTGTCGTCCACCGCGCATCCAGTCTCTCTGCTAGTGGAGAGGATACACAAACCCCTCGGGTCTCACGGACTTCTCTGTCGTCTCGAGAACGCAAGCAACGCTCTGCGATCGCACTGCCTGGAGCCAACCCTGTTAAATTCTTCTCTGCCGTAAGAAAGAAAACATATAACCCAAACGAGGGATGGGACGAGGACAGCCGTGTGGTGTCGCGACCACCCTTGTCTCTTTCTTTTTGCTGCGGAGTCGCTTAGGCGGCTCCGGTGGTGAGCCTGTGTGTGTGCCAGTCCGCGCCAGTCTGCGCCCGTGTCGTGCCAGTGTGCTGTGAGAGAGGCTTGTATCTTAAGAATTCTTTTTGCTGTTAGGGAGTTTAAATTCTTTTTGCTGACGCCGATGCCCGCTGACGACCCTTTGTAGTGAGCGGCAATTCATCTGACCGACCTTTGCAGCGTCGGCAGAAGGAGCCATTCACGCACTGGCGGCCTATCTTCATCAACCCCGCACGACAAGTGTGCGAGGTTTCTGCGCCTACAGGTCTAATGCCCGCGACGGCCTGCGAGGTCCCGCTGGAACTCGCCACCCACCTCGGTGGCGTGGATGCGCTCGAGTTCGGCCCTCGAGGCGCGCCACTCGTCGTCGCGCTGCAGGGCAAGAGCGCAAATCCCGACGTGATCGCCGAGTGGGTTCCGGCGGCGCGACTCCTCGCGGGCGCCGGTTGGCGCGTCGTTGTCCCGAACCTGCACTCGAACGAGCTCACCAAGCCAGGCGCGGTGGCCAGCAAAGACGCGACGCAGGTCGTGCGTGACATCATCCGGTCCGAGCACAACTGCGGCGCGTCGTGCGCCGTCGTCATGGGGAAGAGCTGGGGCGGCGGCGAGGCTGTCGCATTTGCGGCGGCGCACCGGGCGATGGTCGTTGCCCTCGTGCTGGTTGCGCCGTCGCTCTCGGACGTGTCGCTGCTGCAGCAGGTGCGGGAGATACCGATCTGTCTCTTCTGGGCCCGCGATGACGCGGTCAAGCCCTTCGCCCTGTCCGAGCACTACACCAGCAGCCTTGCGCCAGCCTGCACGCTGCACGCCTCCGACCTCGGAGGGCACCGCGTGCTGCCGGAGTACCTTCCCTCCATCGCCGCCTGGCTCAGCGAGAGACGGGCGGAGGCGTTGCATGCGGCGGAGGCGGGGCATGCGCCCGAGGCAGCAGCAGAGGCAACGCCCGCGCAGGCGCAAGTGCAGGGCGAGGGGCTCGCAAGGCGCTCCGCGGACCACCGTCACTCCGCCGACCTCACCCGCCCTCGGACTCTCCTCGCGGCGATCGAGCGCCTCGATCTACTGCACGACTCGGCGGCCGCCGCTGAGGCGGGCGGCGTGCTCCGCTGCTTGATCCTCGGGGCGGACGCTCGCGAAGGGGCGTCTCTGGAGGCTGCCTGCGGCGTCTTCTCGCCCGCGTGTCTGCTGCTTGCCGGCTCCCCCTGGACAGAGCTGCGACTCACGCTCTGCGGCCCAAACTGCGCCGCGGCGAGGGGCGCACGCCTCACCGCGGCGGCGGAGGCGGCCGCGAGAGCAGCAGCGGCGAGGCCTCTCGGCGGCGGCGAGGGTGGTTGCGAGGGTGGCGGCGAGGGTGGCGGCGAGGGTGGCTGCGGCGGGGAGGGCGCCGGCGATCGCGGCGGCGGGGAGGGTGGAGGTGAGGGCTGGGAGGGTGCCGTGCGGCTGAACGTGCGATTCAGCTGCAAGTTGTACCACGAGCTCACCGCGGACGAGCTGGGTGCCCCTCCGCACGTCGCCGTGGCCTTCCAGGCGGGCGTGTGGGGGTACGACACGTGGGCGCCGACGGTCGGCAGCGTCCTGAGGTCCGGCTGCGCTCTGGTGGTGACCTCGTACACTATCCTCGAGGCGGAGGACGACGAGGAGGCGCTCGCGGCGATCGGGGGCATGCGGTGGGCGTGGCGGCCGGAGCCCAACCCGTGGCGTTCGGCCGTGACCGAGAGCCGGCTCAACAGCCGAGGCGACGCGAGGGACCTCGCCGAGAATGCCGCCTGGCAGTGCGTCCTCGGGACCTCGCGTTGTGACGTGTGAGCTGGACAGAGAGCAGAGTAGGGACGCCCGCGCGGCGAGAGCGCACGTCGTACCAGCCCCCCCGGCTTACTGCCAGCCTCCTACTGCCAGCCTCTACTGGGCCGCCGGCGTCCCGGCTCCCGCGTCCCGGCGGTTTTTGTTATTCTCAAAATAACACGTACATCAACGCTACCCTCGCTACCGGAAACCGGACTACACCCGCCGCTCCAGGCGTCCAGCAGTCCCCTGATCCTCTCAATCACCCGCGCCACCTCCTTGTCACTCGGACGCGCACCCACGCTCCACTGGCCTCGCTCGTGCCTGCACGCATTGTTGATTGTACCAGCGCCGCAGGGTGTGCGCGGAGTCGCAGAGCTGCGACTGCCCGGCGCTGCGCGGCGCAAGCGCGTTGATCTTCTCCTCCTCGCCGCTGCCCTTGCGGGCTTGGGCAGTGGCGCGCCTCCCTGCTGCTCGTGCCGCCGCTCGAGACGCCCCGTCATGGACAGGTACGCGTTGCTGATCCGGTCCTGCAGCCGCGCCAAGGTGCAAAGACGCATCGCCGCCGCCCGCCACGTATTCCTTGTGCAGCCCGCCGACCGCGCGCGTGAGAGAGCCGGGCGCAGAAGAGCCGTTCCCAGACGACGACGAAGCGCTGGACGAGGCACCGCTGGATGTGGCACCGCTGGCCGAGAAATCGGCGCCGGACGCCGTCGGTCTGTCGGTCGCAACCGGCGCCGCCGCGGCCGCCGCTCCATCATCCGCGGTAGACGCGCCTAAGGAGTGGAGCTCTCGAGCGATCTAGATCAACCTAGGGCAATCTCGGGTGATCTCGGGGTAGACGCGCCTCTCGCCCCCCGCCGACTGCAGCGGCAGCAGCGCGCCGTCGAGCAGGATGTTGGCCGTCTTGACATCGCGGTGGAGAATGCTGTTCGAGTGGAGGTGCACCAGCGCCCTCGCCGCGTCGCAGACCGCCGAGAGTCGCTTCCACCACGACAGCCCCGGAGTGCCTTTGAAGCCGAGCCCTCCCCTGACAGGTGGTCGTCTAGCGAGCCGGGCCTCGCATGAGCGCCGCCACGATGCAAGCCGCACGTGGCGCGTCGCAGTAGCCGAGTAGTGGCAATACGTCCCGGTGCGCGCACCTCCGCAAGTTGGACACCTCGGCCATCGGTCGCCGAGGACGGCCTCGAGGGGCTCGGCCTCGGCAAGACCGTGCAACGTCAGCTGTGCCGCTGGCTGCCGGCCCTGAACAGCTGCGACGCGGCTGAGGCAGCTTTGTCATCCTTTGCCTCCCTGTCTCTGGTCGAGCCCCCGCTTGGGGCTGCGACTGGCGCGCAGACGGGCAGCAGCGCGATGGCCGGCGGCGATGGTGCTGCTGGCGAGCGCGCTGGCGGCGGCGGCGGTACGGACGCTGCCGAGGGTGCCACGCATGCCGCAGATGATTGCCGCAAGCGGCCCCCGCGGCGGAGATGGGACGTGCTCCGCTGGCGAGGAGCACGGCGGCGGGGCGGCGGCTGGCGGCGAGGGCCGCGGCGGTGCGCGCCCCAAAGAGGCGGACAGCGGCGCCTGCAGTGCGCAGGCCGCAGAAGGTGGAACCGGAGGGCGCCCCGGGGGCCAATATGGACCCCGTGGCGCCCGCGCTGCCGGCAAGCGGCGATGGTACGATCGCCGCCGCGGGGGGGAGGAGGAGGTCGAGGGCGCTGCTGCCGCCGCCGAGGCGGGCCGCCGCGCTCCGGAGACCCTAATTGTCGCCGATCCTTCAGCGACGCGCCATACCGACACCGGGCACAGTTCGCAGCCACTTGCTGCGTCCGCCGGAGCTTCGGATTCTACTTACAGCGGCGCGGACGCGGAGGAGGCGGTGGCAGGAGGGGGCTCTGGGGCGGCGGAGGCGAGCGCGGCGGCCACGGCCGAGGAGGACAAGCGCGTCCGGGCGCTGAGGATTGCCCTGCAGCACAAGACGCAGATGCCCGTGACGGACGAGGAGGCCCGGGCTATCCTCCAGGCGCGAGGGGGTCGCGAGACGCCCGTGACGGAGGAGGAGGCGCGGGTCATCTTTCGGGCGCGGGGGGACGTCGGGCGCGGCAGGGCTACCTTTCAGGCGCGGGCGCGCGGGCGCGGCGGGCGCGCCACGGCATCGCCGGCGCTGGCGAGCAAGGGCGGCGAGAAGCTATCGCGGCGTGGGAAGAAGGCGGTGGCGAAGGAGGCGGGCGAGGTGGTATCACGCGAGGAAGGCGAGGCGATTTATCGCGCGACGCTCGAGTCGCTGTCACGATGTGGATTTGGGTAGAGACTCGACCACCGATTTGCTCGGCTCACTCGATAGCCGGTCTCGGGAACCGTACCCATACTACTCAAAAGTACAATATACTACCACAAAGCACCACTAGCGATTTCGCGCGGAGGGCGCAGTGAAGCGCTGGGGCGCTCACTGTGTGTTATTCGGGTGGGGATCCATCAGTGGTAACCGGCTTTAGTCCCAGATCCAAGCTCAGACGCCACACCAACACCACAAACAGGGCGAGCTCATCACGCCTGACCCGATGATGCCTCAGACAGATCGCCTGGCTTGGGCCCAGGAGATGCTCCAGAACGACGAGTGCGACGCAATTGTCGAGCTCAATGCGCAAGTGGTCCAGGAAGCGCTGGACAATTGCGAGAGCATGTACCTGAATAAGGATCTGAGCTTTGGCCCGTTGCCGGTGGTCAGTGTCATGCGTGCCCACAATAGCACGGAGACAGAGCTATGGCGTGAGGTGAGCGGCGCGGTGCTCACCACCCTAGGCAAGCCCAGCTACCCGGCTATCCGGAAGAAGAACATGCGCTTCGGAGAGTCATGCGGCGAGTCCGGGCCGGACACCAGCCTGGTCAAGATTGGCGTCACGCAAATGAGCGCGTCGTTTGTGGTCTTCTTTGCGTGCGGCGCCCTGGCCATCGTCTTCACGCTGCTGCAGAGGTGCCTGTCCAACCGGGTGCCTGGCGCCTTCATGCAGGAGGAGGTGCAGAACGAGAAGCTCGACACGAAGCTCGACCGGGTGCTTGAGCACCTGCAGTCTCTGCAGCAGGGGCAGCAGGAGCTCGCATACTCCGCTGCTGCTGCCTTAGGCGACAGGCCTGGGGGCATCAGTGCGGCCTTTTCGGGCGCAGCGTCTCCCCAAGGCGCCGCTGCAGGGGCGCCCTCCAAGCTCCCTGTCCCCATGGCCGGCCTGGAGCCCGCACTCGCCCCGGTCGAGATCGCGGCCTGATGCTTGGCGCAATGCAGCTCCGGAGGCGGGTGCAGTGGGTGCAGTGGGCCGTGGGCGGCGAGGCGAGGGCCAGCACAAAAGCAGCGGTGGTGGTTAAAGCCGCCGAGGTGGGGTGGGGCGCCCTGGTGTGGGAGGTGGGTGGGTGGGTGCGGAGCAATGCGCTTCGCAGCGCCCACACCGACGGGCCCGCCTGCCGGGGCCTCGCTCTGAGGCAAAAAGCAGCGCGCAGGGGTGGGCAGCCCGATAGTCTACCCGAGCCGGGCCGCCCCACGAGGTTGTTCATTGGAGGGGGGGGGGGGGGGGGGGATATTGAGACGTGCTTGGTGCCGAGGACGCCACGCCGCTCGTCGCACAGACCGATGAAGTCGCGCGTGACGACGCGCCGAGCCCGCCGCAGCCAGAGCCTGCTTGTCTAGAAACGTGAATTACGCTTGACTCTCGCCCCCGGGCTGGGACAAACTACGTGCACACGCAACACACGACCCATAGGTTGCTTATTTCCGCCTTTACGTACACGCGCACACTTGTGAGTATTCTTGTGATACAAAACCCCGACTGAGACACACCCCAGTGACGTCGACTCGAGCATCGGTTGCCTCCATGAACGGCGGAACTTTATCGGACGCGTCCACACACACACACACACTCACACACGCTTTAATTAAAGGTGTGCACATGCATCACTCTAGCGGCACACACCCGAGCGCCGCGCAGGGCGCGGCCCGGTGTTCCGAGCGCCTGTTCCGCCCCACAAAGCGCGAGCGCCCCCTACTCGCACGCTGACGCGCCGCCCAGCCAACGCGACGGATCCTCCCGACTTCCGCCGCAACGGAGGTTGTACATGTCCTCGATCTTGACCTTTCCGCGGTTGAAGACGCCCTCCGGGTCGTACTCGCAGCACAGCTTGTGAATCATCCGCCGCTGAGGGAGAGAGAGCGAGTTCGCAAAGATTGGCCGCCGCACGAGGCAGTCCGCCTTCGAGCCCGAGCCGAAGGGGGCCTTGCCCGGGTGGACGCGCAGCGGGATGCCGCAGCAGTCCAGCGCGTCCAGCAGCCGCTCGAGCCACTGGTGCTGTGGCAGGCAGCAGTCGAAGTCGAGCGGCCTCGCCTGCAAGCGAGGTGCAGCTCGAGGCTCGAATGGGGGTGGGGGAGGTCGTTGGGGGGGTCGAGGGGGGAGGCCGCGCCTGTGAGATGAAGAACTCGACGACGATGGCATCCTCGGTCGCGTTGGTCGCGTTCGACTCGGGGAGCATGCCGCACGCCTTGGGGGTGAGCCGGACCACGCACAGCAGCGCGGGCGCGGCGGCGAGGAGCGGCGCCGCCACCTCCACGTATTTCTCCCAGTCGGACCGCCGCACGTCCATCGAGAAGTCGAGGCCGGGAGCGTCGCCCGGCGTCCAGCCGTGGAAGAGCGAGTCCGAGATCGCAACCTCCGACTTGCGCACCGTCCGGACACGCCCGCTCGTCCACGAGTTGGCCTACGCAGACCGAGAAGCTGAGATCTGGCCGAGGTCGAGGTTGCATCTGGCCGCCCGTGCAGAGGGCGGCGCCTCGTAGAAGGTCTGCGGCGTCGTCGAGTTCTTTTTCAGCTGACCGGCGAAGAAGTCGTAGATCAGCGCAGTGGAGAGCTTGGCCGCAACCGCAGGCACGCAGCGCGGGACGCACGCGGGTGGCGACGGAAGGCAGCTCGAGAACGCCGGCAGGCAGCTCAACATGCGCGAGCCGGTCGTAGGGGAAGCTGCTACCTCGCCGCCCGCCTCCGCCTGCCCCTCGTCGTTTGGCACGGCGGGCGAGACGACGCGGACAAAGTTGCGACCTTGGTCCGTCTCAAAGATGACCATTGAGCCGTTGACGGGGGAGACTGTCGGCCGCGGCTGCCCGTCCGAGTCCTGCGTAATCTGCAAAAGCAGCCCCTTCATCTGCTCCGTGTCCCACGGCGCTGCGCGGCCGCACGCGGGGCGGCTGCGCGTGAGCGGGAGGCGCGACGTCGTCACGTCCCAGTAGGTCGTCTGCCTCAGCCGCAGCTCCACCTGGTGAGGGGCCGACGGTGGGGGTGGCACTAGGCAGCCGAATGGCTCTCTCCCCGCAGCCTCCACCGCCGCACCTTGACGATGATGCCCGTGATGCCGCAGATGCCAAAGGCGCTCTCAAACAGGTCGCGCCGCTCGTTGCGCGACGCACGCACGATCTGAGGCTCGCCGCCGATGTACACCGCCAGCCAGAGCGCCTCGACCCAGTCGAAGGCGGTGGGTGTGTACGAGTGGTGCACGTTGGTGCCGATGAAGCCGCCAAAGCACTGGCTGACCTGCGGGCACGCGGGGGCGATGGCGTCTGGGTCGTGTGTGCTCCCGCCGTCACCCTCCCTCCCCCTACTGGCGGACCGTCTTTGTAAAGCAGAGGCCCTTGGCCGGCCACTCGAGGTCCACGCAGTCCCACTCGAGCTGCCAGACAAAGTCGGCGATCTGGAGTCCGGCGGAAACGATCGCGCGCTTGTTTGCGACATCCACCTCCATGTGGGTCGACATGCTGCGCGTGAAGACGACGTTGCACGCGCCCGGGACATCAGGGTCCGCCTGAATCATGCGGTTCCACGACCAGCCCGAGGAGATGATGCGGATGCCGCTGGCGCAGCGCATCACCTAGTCAGGTGAGTTGGCGTGTCAGTGTGTGTCGGAGCGAGAATCGGCGAGCTCGGTCTATCCTGACCTCGAGCAGCTCAGCCTCGCAGCTGACCTCCTTGAAGTCGCTCACCACAATGTTGGAGCGGTCCTCCACTGGCACAATGTAGTCGGGATGGTCCTTGGGCCAATCTTGAATGGGGAGGTGAGGAAACGCGCGAGCGGCGGCGCTTGGCGTCGGGTCGTTCGTCCAGAGGCGCGGAGGGAGGTCAAGTCGGCGGCCGACCACCGGCGACGGGTTGGAGACGATGTCGTCATCAGTGAGCGTTGAGGAGGCGACAGACTCGTCCGTGAGCGTCGCGCCGAGCTTGTCCTTCTTCTTCTTGCCGCGAATTTTCTTCTGATAAAAGTGGAGAGGATTGCGCTTGCTTGGGAAGAGCGAGCGAGGGGAAATCATCGATCCTGCAAGGTTCTCGAGGTCACGAGGTGGATATCCTGGTCGATTGCCAAGGCGGCAGCGCGAAAGTGAAGGAAGCGTGCGATTTCTCTTTTTGTGCGAGCCAGTCCCGTGCCCAGTGTTGTGCGAGGGAGCTTTGTTGTAAAACTCTCTTTTTGGGGGAGGTTCTCGAGGTTCTCGAGGTGGATATCCTTTGGCCGCGTTGGGTATAGCGAGGATTGGTGTAACCCGAGCCACGGACGTAGGCGTGTTTTCTGACGGCCGACCGTCAGTGTAAAAATCCCGCCGTTGCAACTGCCATGTCACGGCCGGTCGGCTGCAGCTCTCGCCTCGCTGGCGGCGCGGTCTGGTGCCGCGGCGCCCAGCTCTCCTGTGGGCTCGCGGCGGCTCGCCGCTGCGGTGCCGAACAATGTGATCAGTCTGGATTCGTCCCCGCGTGCCGCCGGTGCCGCTTCCTCGCCAATTTTTGGCTCGACCAGTTTGTCGACAAAACTGTGCCAGAGCCCCTGCTGCTCGACTGAGCGGCGGAGCCGGCCCGTCGCGGCCGAGAGGCGGTGCGCCGACACCGGGGCTACGGCTCGGGACCGTTTCCGGGCTGTCTCGGGCAAGTTCAAAATTTGATGATTTCATGACCTCGCCACTTTGCGGCTCTTTGACATCCACCTCGCGGCCCGCTGCGCGGCTCCTCGAGCGCGAGAGGAGTCGTCTACGAGGCGGCGGCGAGCGCAGGCGGCGGCGGCGCGGCGGCGCGGCGGCGGATCGCGGCGCAGACAACGGCAGGAATCTGCGGCAGGCTGCTGCCTGCTGCTACAGCAGCTGCTGCTGCTGCTGCTGCTCCGCCGCTGCCGATTGTGGACACGATCTCCCCGATCACCCCGCCCGCCCGCTCCGC